TTTTTTTTTTTTTTTTGGCGGGGGGAGTGGGGGGGGTTCAAAGGGCGGGGGGGGGGGGGGGGGGGGGTCAGCTACGGGACACGCGGTGCTGTTCGTACATAGGCGGCGAAAATAAAACGGTATCAGCGGTAAGGGTCCACTACCACCCACGGGAAAGACTTTGCGGCATTTCGGGGACATTGGCATGGTTGTCCGTGCACACGACAAGACCTGTCGCAACTAGAGGAGGCGATGCTGTCCGCCTTGAAGGGAGCCGAGGGCTGCGTTTTTCATGGGACTTCAAAAAAGTTATATATGTACTACCGCGAGAGGGAACGCTTATAACAAGGTATTCGGCGCAACGCACGCACATTCGCACTGGCCCGCTGGGAGCTAAAAACAAATCCAAGAAGGCGTGTGGACTTGTCCGGTAATACGAGCTTCTGCATTCAGCAGCAGGAGGCAGAATCCCCTCGCACCCCCCTCCCCTTGCCTACACAACACCCCTACCAGCTTGCCGGCATCGAGAGCCAAGCCAAGCCAAGCACACTCACTGTTTCGTAGTCCGAGTAGTCGCTCTCCTCGTCATCATCCGCCGACCGGAACTTGCTGCCGGAGCACGGCGTCCCCATGGTCATGTTCATGGACATCGGCGGCGGTGTCGCCCACGGACCCGACACAGACCCCGACCACCCCGAAGCACGCGCCGCCATTCCCGGCGCAGCAGCACGACCAGCGGCTGCCGGTTTCAGCGGCGTGTGACACAAAGGCTCGGCGCCGCAGGTAGCTGCTGCCGAAGCCTCTTCCTTCGCGCTGCTCTCCGCAGACCCTGCTCCCGATCGGCTGTTGCTGCTGCTCCCGCTGCTACTGCTGCTGCTGCTGCCGTGTTCCGTCTTTTGGTCGGCGCTCGCCGCAGCGGGGGGGGTGGCGTTAGGCCTTCCCTTCCGCTCTACTCTGCAGACCGAGTAAGGAGTGCCGCTCTCCTGTACCGGAGCTGTTGGAGACACGGCATCGAACATGCCGTTGCTGGGCCCGGACTTGCGCTTCACGGCCTCCGCGCTTGCACCTAAGGAGGAGGAGGAGGAGGAGGAGGAGCCTTGGCCGCCCCCGCCCTCTGCGCTGGACCCTACTTCTAGTCCCGCCGCGCGGTACGCCGTTTCCATCGGGTCTCGCAGGCCCGCGGCAACGCCCGCCCCCCCCCCCCTCCCCGCCCCGCCGCCACCGCCAGTTTCCTTCGCCGGAAACGACGGAGGCCCGCGGGGCGGCGAGGTTCTCGGGAGCGAGAGCTTGGCCTGCACGCTGCTGCTGATCGAGGGGGTCCCCGTCGATACCACCGGCGTTCCGAGGGTCACGCGGAGCGCGCTCGTCCCGAGCGGGCCCTTGAGTCGCGGCGCCTCGCCCAACCTCGGCTTCTGGAACGACACCAGGGAGGCGGCCGCCTGGAGAGTGTCGTCGGCGTCCGACGCGTCCGTGCTTGTCGCCGGCGGCGACGGCGTGGTGTGGCTGGGCGCACGGGGAGTACCCAAGCATTTCGGATGCCGCGGGACTCCCGGCGGGGTGGTGTCCTCTCGCTCTTGCTCGCTCTTGTCGCAGCTCCAAGAAGAAGACGTCTCGACGCGATGCGCTTCTCTGTCCTTACCGCCAGCGGCGTCCCGTGCACCGTCCCGAGACCCCCCACGCTCACGGCGGCCCCAGGACCCGAACGGATCGCCCGGAGAGGCAGGCGACTGCCGTTGATCCCCGCCGCCGACTCGCCAGCTACGCTTCGCCGCCATCTCGCGCGCCTCCTCCGGGGTGATGGCCGCCGCGGCCCCGTCGCGCGCGCTGGCGGCGGCGGCGGCGGCGAAGAAGCGTTTCTCGCTGTCCCCTACCGCCGCCTTCCAATCGCGGCTCCTCGGGCTCTTGCTCGGGGTGGGCAACCCCCCTCCGACGAGTCCTTGCTGCTGCGGCCCCTTGTCCTTAGCGACCCCCTTCCCGTCCCGCTCCTCCGCGTGCCCTCCTTCTTTCCCTGCTGCGCGGTCCCCTCTTACCGGCGATGCCCACGCCTTATCGCGGAGGTGAAGCATCCCAAGGCCGCCGCCACCGCCACCGCCGCCGCTGCGTGGAAACGGGGAAAGCGAGAACCTCGCCGCTTCAAGCGAGTCGGTGCTGCTACTACCGGCGTGACTCCCCAAAGTTGCAGGCCCATTCGGCGACGACGACCACACCCTCCCCCGACCACCGCTGCCGTACATCAGCTTCCCGGCGGAGCGCGGTGGAGACAACAAGGACCGGCCAAACTGACCACCGTTGCCGTCGCGTGAAGGCGACGCGTAACCCAGGCGGCTGGTCTGGCTGAAGGGGGACAGTGTCGGCAGGATGCTGCTGTCCGACCCCGCGTCGTAGCTCGCGATGAGCTTGGTCTCCAACGCGATCGGCGACAGCGTGTCCGTGCTGCTGCCGGTCAAGTTCGGTTTCTTGGACGGCGTGTTAGAGGTGTCCTGGTCCAAACAACGACAAGAGGAGGATAGATACATTACATTGCACATGTAGCGACGGGAGGGGTCAGGCGTTTAGAACCCGATATTGATAATGCGTCCCCAAAACTGAAAAAACAAAAAATACCCAAAACAAAAAACAAAAACACACCCCAACCCATAGTTACTTTACACTTGTATTACTTCAAACCATTATTTGTTGCATTAATTCGAAATACTTCGGAGCGAAAGTGTCGGGTAGTTTGGACCCCCACGAGTTGACTTTTGCTAGAAGCCGAGCTCAAAACCAATAGAGTAGTCACCGCTGACTAGTCTAATGGTTTGATTTCAGCTTCAAAAGGCGCCGGGACATGTCATAAAAAACTTGGGAACGTGTGCGTGTATCATATACCTCGGCAGGGCACCGCGACTTTTGGGTCCTCCTCGAGGTATGCTTCGGATGCATCAAGGGCCCGCGCGTCTCGTGATCGCCAACAACAGAGCACAAAAGCAGGGAGCAAACATTGTACAGTACAGCAGTTCCCGGTGTCCTCTGCTCACCCTCATTGACGCAGCCCAGTCGTCGCACTCCCTAGGCATCATGAAGTTGCCGTGGATTCCCACGCGGTCCCGCCTGTCCGGCCTAGGAGAGCCCGCGAGCCCCGCCTCGACCGAAGACCGCTTGCCGCTGCCGCCCCCCTTCTCACCGGGGTGGTCTCTCCTAAAGTCGAACACCGAAGAGCTTGCTCCGGTGGCACACCAGGACCGCCCTTTACAATCGGCATCGACACCCCCCCCTCCCTCAGTGCCGACCCCAGCCCTGTCTTCACTTTCGCTATCCCCATCGCCAGCCTTGTCCCAGAAACGAGGGTCCTCATCGCTTGTCGATTCTGCGGCACCCCCCAACTCGACGGCGGCCCTCCCCCCGCCCCCTCCCGTCCCCGACCGGCTCCGTTTCGGCTTTTTTCTCGCCGCTGGCTTCTTTGTAACCGTCGTCGCCGTCGCCGTTGCCGATTGCGCTGCAACCCTTTTGGCTCCGGCGCCGTTCTTCTTCTTCGCCGCGGAGGCAGCGGCGGAAGCGGTGGAGGCGGTGGTAGCACTAGCGGCGGCGGCTGCGGCGGCTGCGGCGGCGGCGGTGGCGGCAGCGGCGGCGGTGGCGGCCGCACCGGCCTTGGTTTCCTTCTTGGCGGCGGAGCAGGCGCGTTTCGTGGAGTTGGAGCTTCCCTTTGGTCGGCCCACGGCTCCGGCGGCCTTGCCGCTTCTCACGGCTCTCAACGCGCTCTCGACGTCGCCCCTGCTCCAAAAACGAACGCAGCCAAAACAGCCCCCAGTGTGTCGGGTAGGGACGGGGACAGAAGGGAGGAGGCTCAGGGACGATTACATGGAATCCTTGAGATCACGCTTCGACACGAGCAATGCACATCGAGCATGGTATCAGAGTGGCACACCCCCTTAAGAGACTTGCCTCGCCGCCTGTGGCCGCTGCAATCAGACTATACGCCAATGACTACAACATTGTACAACGTGGCCAACATGCATTCTGTAAATACCTTAGGTGAAACCGCCCGCCCTCTGGCACAAAGGTTGGCGACTTGTTTTGCTTGTGCTTGGCAGCTCTCCCCTTCTTCCCCTTGCCGCCGCTCTCGCCCGCGATCAGTAGGGGAGAGGGTGTCGCCTCTGCCTTGCCAGACGGCTGTCCCTGTCCCGGTACGTCGCCGTAGGCCGAGCCGTAGGTCTTCTCGAGGTACATCTGCAGCCGCCGCTTCATGCTCGAGTTCCAGTGGTTCTTGATGTGGTTGTCGGTCCTACGTACGTCGAGAAGAAAAAGGCATAGTTGGAGTTGCTACAAGCCCCACACGAACGGGAGCATCTTGTCTACTCTTGTGCGCATGCATGACGGCAGTTGCGAGCACAGCACGAGCTAGGATGTGATACAAGGGAGCGACACCGAAAAAGTCACGATCGCCTGCACATGAATCCCTCAAGTACGCAAGGTCGGGCTAGACGGAAAAGTGACCATACTACTACGGTATCCTAGTGTTTGGGTACAGCTAAGTACGGCAACCATAGCATTAGCGCAATCCGACCCCCACCTCCTGAACGGTAGACATCGGGACCGCTAAGCACTGACAATTTTTACCAATCGCAAATTAAAAGCGATCCTCTTCACATGGCTCTGAATCATGCGAGTATCAGACAGCACACAATGAGTCGTGTCCAGCGAAACCGGCAATTACACTCTCACGTGCCTTGGTTCTTGTTTGTCAATATGTAAATTTATCTTCCTATCGCACAGAGTGCGCCATGTCAAGATATACACCATGGCATTGCTGACAGGAGGCACCACACGCAAAAAAATTGAGAGCTTGGAGCGTCGAGCCTGCAACAATCAACAAACAACCGTAGGTCCTTGTGTCAATACCTTCCAGGGAGCAGCCTCGACATCTCTGCCCACTTGTTGCCGTGTATGGCTTGGGTTTCGATGATAATCCGGTCTTCCTCTTCCGACCAGGGGGCCTTGGACAGGGCCGGGTCAAGGTGATTATTCCACCTGATGAGTGATGAGCAACGGAGATAACAGCAGTGGTGTTGAGCTCACGTCACAAGACTTGTATCTATCATACGCGAAAGCCAACAGGCGTACGACGTCGCGCTGACCTACCTCTCACGGCACTGCTTGCCGATTCTTCCCGGGAAGCGCTGGGATATCGCCGACCAACGCTTGGGGCCGAAGAGCCCGACCAATTCCACCATCTTCTGATCCTCCTGCATTCGTCAAGAGCGACGGAAGCATCGAAAGCCGCGCTCAAAGATAGCACATGGTACACCCAGCTACGTATGTATCGGGCGACGTGCCGCAAAGGGTGGGTGCGCAAAGACACTCAAAACGAGCCGCTTGCCACAAACGAATGATGAGCTGCTTGGCCGCATGGTCACCGCAGCCGTAGTCCAAGGGATCAGAAACAAGACACGAGCAAGGGCATCTGGTATTCAGAGGTTGACTCAACATTGATCTCTCGCCCCGGGCGATATCGATGGTGCCTACGCACACAAAAACCCAGTGCACTTTATTTTGTAGTACCAGGCCATGTCTACCACACGAAGAAGATACAGGAACAGTCATCGCTGCAGATCCAGCAGTGCGAGTGAAACGTCTGCACTGGTTGCACGAGTAGGGGCCGCTGTACAGCCGGCTGGCGCGGCTTCGGTTGTATGACCTGGCGGGTGGCCTATGCACACATCCTCTCGCCGCCAAAAATAGGCCTGGACTATGGAACAGCCCGTCCTACACACAAAACACGGCAAACATACCGCCTACTTTCGAACTCCGGTCCATACCAATGCATTTGCTCAAACCGGCACACACCCCACGGGTTTGCAAACACGCGCCGCCAAATCACGCGCCGCCACTGCTGTAAGTAAGGCAGTGGCAGCTCAGCGCAAAACCCCAACCCACCTCCGGAGTCCACGCCCCCTTTATTGTCTGTGGATGCAGAACCTTCTGCCAGCGGGAACAGCACTGGACCCCGGTCCTGCCGTTGTCGAGCACTTGCGAGATGTTGTCCCAGTCGATCTCCGCCCCCGAGGCTGCGACGACAAGCTGTTGCAATTGCGAATCCTGAAAAAAGGACAAACATGAACGGGGGTAACGACGAGTTTTGTCTCAATTTTGTGTTAAATTTATTCTGACGAAACACAGAATTACAAATCCATCTCATCTCTTCCAGATAAGAGTCCGTAACAGATTAGCAATGAATGAATAGTCTTGTGCGGTGACCAACTTGTGTTTCTACGACTCCCCGAGCAGCACACAGGGATATCTCCCCTATGTGTTGCATCCCTGCAGCAGCCAACAAGAGCGAACGCCCACCCAGAAGGATGAGGCACTGCTGTGTAACCGACTCGGATACGGTGTGGCATCATCTTCGTCTGGTCGTCCGTAGCTCCGAAGAATATTTATCGACACACGATCGAATGGATGGAAGTGCCTTCACTGGAAGCGTCATCCCTACGGGTGGACAGATTCTCAGAGTCTACGGCGTGCATGTTCAGCAGTCGCGGTGTAGACTACCATACATGTACCAGATCCTGTGAGACGACGCCCGTCGTATGCATGGTTCAAACTGAGTAGCAGAAACCTCAGTATGGTATGTAGCTCACCTCATCTTTGGTCCACTTGGGCATTCTCGACGGCGATCCTAGCCTTCAGGTGCTACGATCCGGCGTGCACCTTCCGCGTCAGTCAGTCAGTGTCCAACCCTCAAGCTCGTTGCTCTGGCGTCTCGATCGCCTTACGCACGGAGAGCGAGAGAGCCAAAGACACCCACCAACAGCGGCAACACCAACACAATCTTAGTCTACAGGTTTACCATTGGGTTCAAAAACCACAAGCAACCAAAGTGACCCTTCAATCTTCTTGGCAGCACACACTGAGATGGAGCGTTGGTACCCACGCCAGGTCGCCCTTCGTTATTGCTTACGCCCAGAGATACGAGCGCTGGTCGGAGCTTGTTGGAGGAGACGCGGAGATCGGCGGGCCCGCTCTAACAGCTCTACATACACAGGCTACGCTGCACCACTTTCGGATCTACAGCAGTACCATACGTACTTCGAGGACATCGTAAGTAGTACTAATGTAGTTTCTCTGTTCAAAGTAAAGCCAACCATCGAATGCATCCACTAACCACGAACACGTAACCAGCACATCGCTGTTGCTGACCGCAAAAAGCACCACCGTCCCATCGAAAACACAGCGTAAGCAGCCGCACGTAGGCCGCGCCCGAATGGCCCCAAAACACCCGCCGCGTCCAATTTGGCGCCAAACACTCGAACAACCCTCACCCGTGCCTGTTACTCCGTCGCCCGCCAAAGCTCGTCTTGTCAATTCCAGAGGCTGCGAAGCTGGTGGGAATGACCTGGGGATTAGAGGGCGGGACGGTGGGCAGGGTGCGCGTGGTGAAGGGCCGGTTTGAGAGCTTTGAAAACGGCGCCATGAGCGAATGCAAGGGTAGCAATTGGTGCGGTTTTTGAGTTTCGGGGAGTGTATCTCCGTCAACCAAGATCTATCTGCTCGCCAGCCAAAGCCTGTTGGGCGCTTGTTCGACGAGAGAGAGCAACCGGAACCATTCCATAGAGGGTTCAATGAAGCAGTTGAGTGGGTGAGCAAAGCGGCACCAGGCGAGGCCGGTCTTGGCGAACGTGCTGGCGTACAGCGGCAGCAGCGCACAAGGCTTGGTCCTGTTTTTTTTTCCGCATATTGTCGCTCGTGCGCAAGCAATAGGGACGACCAGCCTATGAGCTGGGGTCTGTATCGCTCGACCTCTCACCTTTCTTGCTACCCCGCATGCAGCACCCTCACAGTAGAATATCACAAGATGATTGATCGTGCTCTCACCCTCTCCCTCCTGCAAGGTTGCTTCTAGGGTCGTTCCTAGGGCAGGATCTCTGTGTTTCTGCGTAGGTGAAGTGGCGTGTCCTCTTCGAGATTCGGGATTTTTGAATTTCGAGGGGGGCCGGCAAACAGGATTCAGGGAGTTCTGGGGAAACAGGAGGCCAAGTAGGGGGTCCGCAGATTTGTGAGGTTGCTCCGCAGTCGCTAAGCAGCTAGCAAGCAGGGCTCGTGTTGCTGGTTGCTGGGAGCCACCTTGGCTTGTCGGGTCCTGGAGCTCTGCTATGGAAGTGTGAGTGTCGTTGTTGATTTCGTGAGCCCGTCCCCGTATTTCCTTTGATACATACACTAGCTTGCAACAATTCAAAAGGCAAAGGTCTCGCCCATGACGCATGTTGATCTCACGCGGCCCCGCTCTGTCCGTTGCTCTACCGCCGCTGCTGACCGCTCTTTGTGCTCTCGCAGGGTAACGTACGATAGGTTGGTTGCAGATTTTGAGGCTCTAGAATGCGTCCGCCGCCAGCGTGAACGGCGAGAAGCCGGCAGGGCAAAGAAGGAGCCTCCCGACAGCGGTAGCAGCGGAGGCGCTCTGGCAGCCGAGGAAGCGACGGAGCGGTATCTATCCAAGATGCCTGCAGCACGCGAGACGAGGGAAGCGGTAAGGGGTCGGCGGATGAGAAGATGGCCTGCCTTGTAGGTGGTGTTGCTGGTGAGCGAAGTTCGAGGGTGGGTGGGAGTCGCGTCACGTACTTGCTGCGAGGGCTGAATGAACCACGCCGGGGTAGTCGCAGTATCACGCCTGACCTGCCACACTGGTTCCACGATCCTCTTTTTTCTCCTGCATGACATAGACTAGCCGCGGATCTCCAGAGCTTGCAGATAGCAGCATTTTTGGAAAGTAAACATAACCTCACATTTTATTTGTCTTTCCTGCTGATCGTCGAAAATGCTGAGTGTTCGTCTTCCATCATTTGACCCATATGACCCTGCGCCTATGCTCTCTTACCCCTGTAAAGGTGTCGGCATGCTGGCGGGCGCTTTCCGAGCATGAACATTTCTGCCGGCTCACTACTCCCGAGAAGCTTCAGATGATAAACCACCGCCCGTCCCAGGCTGTGGCAGTGCACTTGGTGAGCGAGCAAGCCTCTTTGGATAAAAATTGAGCCACATTGACTAATCCCAGTGTGCTCCTCCTCCTACTCCTGTGTGACCGCAGCTGGTGCGTCCAAACTTACCGAACGGTGTGAAAAGTGGTGTCCAGGATTCTTTTTTTTTGTGAGATGCCAACCTTATGGCAGTGGCATCACAGCATGAAGAGTAGACTAGATGTATGAATGGTGAGGCTACCTCAAGCTTCGTTTTCCTGGTCTGGCAGCGTGGTTTGGCCGTGTAAGAACGGTCCCTTTAATTCTTGAAGCTACAACTCTGTACTCTGCCCTGACGCTGGATACTTGTGGTGTGGAATTATCCAACAACAAGTGACTACACATAGATCACAGCAGCAAGTAGTATTACGTTTAAAGTAGGATCGGGGTCACGTGCTTCGATTTTCAAAGCTGGAGCCTCAACCTGTTAACTCCAACGTTCTCAAGTGGTGGCGCGTTCTGTAGACACGGCAGACATCAAACTCCCCCTTTGATCATGGCTTTATATTTATTTGCGGAAGTCGTTGAACACCTTTTCTTTCAGCACGTCTATACATGCGTCCAAGGCACACGGTATACTGCTCACCACATTGTTGAAGGCAAGCCGACGAATATCGTCGGCATTGCTAGTCCCAAGCTTTTTATTTTTATTTTAGTCGCGTGTTGCGCGTGTGCTGACACCACGAACGGGAAGGACCTTAATTAGCCGACACACTAGGCAATAATGGTCGTGATGGACGCGGGTACGCAAAATAAAAAAACACATACATCCGATCCTCGGGAAACACGAAATGCAACGTCTACATACAGTAGACACAGGAAGACAAACAACTAGAAAGTTCGGCCTGAGGGACTGATACACATGTCGCCAAAAGAATCGAAGACGGCATCCCCGGCATCCGTGGAGCTGCGATCGTCGATAGAACGGTCCCCACAGGGCGATGTAGTCCTTCCTGAAAGGCTTTGTGGCGAATGCTGCGAGGGGCGTTGATGATTCCGGCCCGAAGGGCTGCTGTCGTCGGCGTGATGACGGTGGCCCGGTTGTCGCCCAGAAGGGCTGTTATGATGTTGTTCCTCGTGTCGCGTGTACAGCGGTGGGGTGGCGACGCACAAAGAAGTCTTAAGGTACGCCAGCATACACTGCGACGAGCTGTTCCAGTCGGCATCGAAGGTGTCTGTAGAAGTTACGGCTCCTCCCGCCAGGCAGTCGTACTTGTGCCATCTTCCTCTGACACGCAGTTGAGTGACGAAGTGGTTCTTCCGTGACCCACCATGCGCAATATGGTAAGATACGCCGACCAAGGAATATGCAGCCCCCATGAACAGGGTCGGCGATGGCGACATGGGCCGACCATGCAGCCCTTGGAAGACCTCAGTAGAGCGGAATAACACCCTGTTAGGTGCTGTGTGCACAGTCCATGGTAGCAAAGTCCAATTGCACAGTGTCTGGCTTAGGCCAGCTGCACAGAAGGGGCACAGGGATGTCCCCGGAATGGACAGATCCGATGCCTGGCCCTGAGAAAAATTCCCGGACCTCCTCATTTTTCATGAGGAGGAAGTGGCCCAGATTCCTCGCGTCATGCCCAAGCTCACCCCCGAAGAGGCCGCTACCCAAACATGCCTTTACTGCCGCGGCACTACCTTCGAGACGCCTGGAATCAGGCAGTG